ATAGATATGTGTGTGTAAAGGAATATGTATATATATATATATATATATATATATATATATATATATATATATATATATATATATATATAAATATATATTTATAGACATACACACACAGTATATGAAAGTGCATGTGCGTGTTTCAGTGCACGAGTATGCATGCACACCTGCACGCTCAGGTGCCGCCAAGACCTTTATCTCAAACACTGACAAATCGCCTCATTTGGTCTTCCTTGCGACACCCCCCCCCCCCCCGCCCGCCCGCCTCCGCCGTCGCTCTTCCTCCTCTCTTCCTCCCTCTCTCCTCCTCTCCACCTCTCCCCTCTTCCTCTCCTCCTCTCCCCCTCTTCCTTTCCATCTCTCCTTCGTGACCTCTTCTCGGTCTCCCCGCTCACGACCTCCCCGGGCGGACGGGCAGAATCCGCTCCACTTCACGAACTAGCTGTCCTTTCGCGCGTGGCCGCCGCCGTTATTCTTTATGATTTTTCTCTCTTCTTTTCTTCCTTCCTTCCTTCCTCCCTTTCATTTATTTCTTTTTCTTTATTCTTCTTTTTTTAAATATTGTTTCTGCTTTTTCTCGTTCTTCTTCGTCCCTTTTTGTTCTTCTTTTCTTTTTCTTTTTCATCACCATCTTTTCTCTTCTTCTTCCACTTCCTCTTCTTTATCTTCTCTCTTCATCTTTATCATCTTCTATCTTCTTCTTCTTCCTTTTCTTCTTCTTCTCGTTCTTTCTTTTCTTCTTCTTCCACTTTCTCTTCTTCTTTATCTTCTCTCTTCATCTTTATCATCTTCTATTTTCTTCTTCTCCTTCTCCTTCTCTTTCTTCTTCTTCTTTCGCTTTCATTTTCCCCGGTCGGTGGGCGGTCCCGTCACGTACCGGCCCGGTCATCCGCGCGATATTTGGGTCGATCATGACGGAGATGAGGTCGAGGGAGAGAGGGAGAGGGAGAGAGAGAGAGGGAGAGAGGGAGAGGGAGAGAGGGAGAGGGAGAGAGAGAGGGAGAGAGGTCGAGGGAGAAAGATCGAGGGAGAGAGGTCGACGGAGGGAGATCGAGGGTGAGAGGGAGAGGGAGAGAGGTCGAAGGAGAGTGGGAGAGGGAGTGAGGTCGAGGGAGAGAGGTCAAGGGAAAGAGGTCGAAGGAGAGAGGTCGAGGGAGATAGAGAGAGAGGGAGTGAGGTCGAGAGGGAGAGAGGTCGAGGGAGAGGAGAGGTCGAGGGATAGAGGTCGAGGGAGAGAGGATCGAGGGAGAGAGGTCAAGGGTGAGAGGTCGAGGGAGAGAGGTTGAGGAGATGAGGTCGAGGGAGAGAGGTCGCGAGGAGAGAGAGATCGAGGGAGAGACAAGGGGGTCCGAGGGAGAGAGGGTACGAGGGAGAGAGATCGATGGGAGAGGAGGTCGAGGGAAGAGAGGTTCGAGGGAGAAAAAAGGTCAAGGAGGAGAGGTCGAAAAGGAGAGAGGTCGAGGAAGAGAGGTCGAGGGAGAAGAAGAGGTCGAGGGAAGAGAGGGAGAGGGAGGAGTCGAAGGGACGAGAGTCGAGGGAGAGACGGTCGTAGGGAGAGAGGTCGATGGGAGGAGAGGTCGAGTGGGAGGTCGAGGGAGATGGTCGAGGGAGAGAGGTCGAGGGAGAGAGGTCGAGGGAGAGAGGTCGAGGGAGAGAGAGGTCGAGGGAGAGAGGTCGAGGGAGAGAGGTCGAGGGAGAGAGGTCGAGGGAGAGAGGTCGAGGGAGAGAGGTCGAGGGAGAGAGGTCGAGGGAGAGAGGTCGAGGGAGAGAGGTCGAGGGAGAGAGGTCGAGGGAGAGAGGTCGAGGGAGAGAGGTCGAGGGAGAGAGGTCGAGGGAGAGAGGTCGAGGGAGAGAGGTCGAGGGAGAGAGGTCGAGGGAGAGAGGTCGAGGGAGAGAGGTCGAGGGAGAGAGGTCGAGGGAGAGAGGTCGAGGGAGAGAGGTCGAGGGAGAGAGGTCGAGGGAGAGAGGTCGAGGGAGAGAGGTCGAGGGAGAGAGGTCGAGGGAGAGAGGTCGAGGGAGAGAGGTCGAGGGAGAGAGGTCGAGGGAGAGAGGTCGAGGGAGAGAGGTCGAGGGAGAGAGGTCGAGGGAGAGAGGTCGAGGGAGAGAGATCGAGGGAGAGAGGTCGAGGGAGAGAGGTCGAGGGAGAGAGGTCGAGGGAGAGAGGTCGAGGGAGAGAGGTCGAGGGAGAGAGGTTGAGGGAGAGAGGTCGAGGGAGAGAGATCGAGGGAGAGAGGTCGAGGGAGAGAGGTCGAGGGAGAGAGGTCGAGGGAGAGAGGTCGAGGGAGAAAAGTCAAGGAGGAGAGGTCGAAGGAGAGAGGTCGAGGGAGAGAGGTTGTGCTTTATGGAGACCTGAATGTGTTTGTGAAGCATTTATTTTCGTCTTGTGGAGCGCCCTCGATTCGTCGTGGCTTTGTTATGTGGAGCCTTTGATTGTGGCTGGTTTTTATATGTCGTATTGTGATTTTTTTTGTTTTGTTTTTGTTTTTGTTTCGAGAGGCCT